GTGTGTGTGTATGAATGCGCATGTGTGCATGTTCTGTCCTGCTGGCGCCCTCCCACCGAAGCCACACGCTTCTTCTGCAGAAGGGCAGATGCTGTGAGTCATGCCCAGCGCTGAACAAAACACAGCCACACCCACCCTTGCAGGAACAAAGATTGAGATCTGTACAGCACCTGTTGTACAATGGACGTGTGTGTGTGTGTGTGTGTGTATCAGGCGTATGAGTTTGAGGGCTCCTGCTTTGAATGCAGATAGAAAAAGTAGGTCAGCCCTTAGGTTCTGCATGGAAGAAATGTTGGTTTTGGGGCTGTGCCTGAAATCTGGAGAGAGAATTCTGGCTAGTCTTTCTTCCCATCAAGATTGCGACACAAAGAACAAATGAAGGAATGCTTTTGAAGCCCAGGGTGGAGTTTTTGCTGGGCCGATGTTCCTTTTTTCTTTCCCCCTTAATATTTCTGTTGTATTCGGGGGGCAAGGGAAATGGGGATTGCCCCCACCCACCTGCCAGCAGACAGCACCAGGGTGGCACCAGGGTGGCTAAGGGTGAAGGGAAAGTGGCCATGGATTTTTAGGGTAAAATTCATTGGAGCATGATTTGGAAATGTTTATACATAACCAAAATAAACAACAATTTCGGGATGGGTTGGCTTTGCAAGTCCACCGGATGGGTCTGTTTGTTTTATTTTAGGTGTTTTTCTACTGAAAGTTTTACAAAGAAGCAAAAATAAAAACCACAAACCGATAAAAGCAAAAGAGGAGGAAAACAAAGACAGAAGTGCGGCAAGAAAGAATAAAAAGAAGAAAGGCGAGACTTCTAATTTCCTTTGCAGAAAATCGAAGCAACAACCCCAAAGTGATCGCTTGCTCTTTTACTGTAGGATGGTAAAGAAAAAAGAAAAAAGAAAAGAAAAGCCCATTCTTTTCTATTATCCAGGGATTTTTAAACAAACAGATACTTCTGTTTGTAAAGCATTCCATTTCAGAAGAAAGGAAGACAAAAACTTATAAAGCTGACCCAGCTAAAAAGTCATTTTGTATTTTAGCAAAAAAAAAACCACCTGCCGGATTGCTGGCTTAATGCAAGGTTCTTCAAACTTGGCCAGTTTAAGACTTGCAGACTTCAACTCCTAGAATCCCTGAGCTAACATGACTGGAGGAGGAATTCTGGGAGTGGAAGTTCATAAGACTTAAAGCTGTCAAGTTTGAAGACCCCTGGCTTAGCGTAATGTTCACTTAATGAAAGAAATTGGCTTCCCAGCAGCTGCTGCTGTCCTGGATCTCCACCTCCCCCAAATCTGTTTTCCCATTGGGTAAAAATCTAATTTTTCCCAAAGGGACCGCCATCCAGAACGCAGGTGATTCCTTTGAAAATAAGGAGTGTGCATTTGCTAGGTTTTATCTACTAGATTTCACACCACCACAAACACAACTCTGTGAAGTGGGCAGGGCTGAAAGAGAAGGGCCAGCCCAAGGTCATCCTTCAGGCCAAAGGTCCATAGTCTCTCTGTTTCTTCTCCAGCATCTTCACAACTACATCGAGCTGACTTCACTTCACTTTATTTCTATTCTAGTATACACAAAAATATTTACAGGAGCTGCCTTCCTCTTAAGCTTTGACACACAATGGCTTTTGGGCGCCATCGTCCGTTCCAAGGAAGTTCTGCAGCCTTATAAAAGCAGAATTAAAATTTGCACTGGGGTCACATTTTCCCTATAAGATTTTATTTCCTCCTTTCCTTTATTCTTCCTTGGTGTCGTTGGAAAAACAGGGTCCCCCAAAAGTTGAGTAATTTTAGCAAAATTGTATGGGTGTGGATCTTCATTTAAAAAAAAAAAAAAGAGCCCTGTTTTATTTTTATTTTTTTAAACTTTCCCTTATGAATATTTATGTCTGGACTCCAGCCAAGATATAAACCTAAAATCGAAGAAGACGGAGAAGAATTTTTTTCCCCAGATGCAAAAGTGGGGCTGCCATTAACCACATTCATCATCCAGGAACGACAAAGTAGCACTTTGGGAAGTTTGTAATTTGGCAGAAGAAAAGTCTGTAACGATATGAAATACAATGTGGTTTTGGAATCCAAGATCTCAGCAATTAAGAGGTCAGAGCAATGCCATGAAAAAGTTGGAGTTGTAAAAATAGTTTGAGCGTCAGCAAGAATTTGCAACTGCCTTGGGAAGAATCCTTAGGAAGGGAATATCTTCAAAGGAATATAGTGGTTTAAAAGACTGGTCTAAGTCACTGCTGGCCTTCCTTTTATCCAACCCAAGTTGATACTGAGTTAGAGAAAGGGCAGAGAGTTGATTTCATACAAACAGTGGCCTTATTAATACCCAGGACAAAGAGTGATTGGGCCAAGTCCTTCTGTGGCTTGTGAGATGTCACCAAGAGATCAAAGTATCCTCTTCCATGGAATTGGGAACAACTGCAGCTGATGACCCCCATGTGTACCTGAGGAGAAGGAGGTGTGATGGAAGCTGACAAAATGAGACTGCGGGCTGCTTTGAGAGAGATGCTGGGAACTGGAACAATTTTCTGGTTATTTTCAAGCATTGGTACCCAGATTTAAAAACAAAATGTCAAAATGCCATTTCTGCATTTCAGGACCGCCTTAACAAGATCACACTTGGAATACTGCATCCAGTTTTGGTTGCCATGATATAAAAAAGTTGCTGAGGCTCTAGAAAGAGTGCAGAGAAGAGCAACCAGGATGATGAGGGGAACTGGAGGCTAAAACATATGAAGAACAGTTGCAGGAACTGGGCTTGGCTAGTCTGGTGAAGAGAAGGACCAGGGGAGACAGGATAGCAGTCTTCCAATATTTGAGGGGCTGCCCCAAAGAAGAGGGAGTCAAGCTATCCTCCAAAGCCCCAGAAGGCAGGACAAGGAGCAATGGATGGAGACTCACCAAGGAGAGAAGCAACCTAGAACTAAGGAGAAATTTTTTAGAAACTAATCAGTGGAATGATTTGCCTTCAGACATGGTGGGTGCCCCATCAGTGGAGGTTTTGAAGAAGAGACTGGACAACCATTTGTCTGAAATGGCATAGGGTCTCCTTCTCAAGCAGGGAGGTTGGACTAAGTGACCTCCAAGGTCCCTTCCAACTCTGTTCTTTTATTATAAAGCAGGGGTCTCCAACCTCGGCCACTTTTAGACTTGTGGACTTCAACTCCCAGAATCCCTCAGCCAGCAAAGCTGAGGAGTTGAAGTCCATAAGTCTTAAAGTGGCCGAAGTTGGAGACTCCTATTATAAAGGATGAGATATATATTTTCAAAACTTCCTGCAGAGGGCACTGGTGGCATTAGAAAAATATCTTCTAACAAGAGAACAACTATTTACACACACACACACACACACACACACACACACACACACACACACAGGGGAGGGGAAGGAGGGAGGGAGGGAGAGAGATGGAGTGAGTTCCTAAAGAGAAGATCAAACTGTGAATAGAACTTGCAAGTGCCCAAGTGACATTTCTGAAAGATCTCATGGAAGAACGTGTCTAACTTTGCTCCAAACAGGTCTGGGACTGGTCATCCTTCTAAGCCTTTTTTTTTTTTTAAAAAAATATTATTCTGAATGGCTAAGAAAGTTTAACAAAGCAGATGTAATATTAAGCAAACTATATTGAACATGAAAATATTTATTCCAGCCCTTCTCATATCAGGGTTTTCTTCCAGAAACAGAGCGTAGAGTGTTAGATCCATGCCTTGTGATGTTCAACAAGTGTAGGGGGGCCATATGTTGCTTTGCCATGCTTAGGTGATCCCAAACAAACAGGGTTTAGAGTTAAATATAATGCTGCCACCTTGTCAATGAACATGGACATACAAGAATACCTTGTTCAATCTCAGGGAAGAAGAAATCTTTCTTAGAAGAAGTTAGGAATAAATGTTCGGTCTGAATAAAAGCTAAGCAGCTTATGGAAGAACCCTTCTTTCTCAACAGAGGAAATAAAGTCTAAGTATTTGGCCATCTTTGGGTGCAAAATATCCATCACACAAGTTGCTGGTTCCCGTTTGTTTGAATCTGATGATGTTTGGGAGAAGAAGAGGAGGGAAGAGGCCAAGAGAGCGATGGTGTATTATTCTTGGCATTCATGGTTGGACATGCATAGCTCGCTAGGCATTCAGACATAAATATTTGGAGTTGGACACATGGACAGCAGGGCTGAAATAATTATTTAGAAATCACCTCAAATGAGGAGGAAAGATTATGAGGGAGGTTGCTGGAATAGACTTCTTCGGAAGCAAAATTTGAAGCCTTGTTCTGATGTCAACATCACAACCATTCTTCCGTGCATAGAAATCCTTTCCCCGACTTGTAGCTCATGACCAAACTCTACCCATGTTGCTTCTCAAATGTCTTTGGCGCCTATGCTCAGTGTGATCCCTTCAGAATCGTATGAATCAAGCCAATTCTTGCTCTTTTTTCGGTTTGGAAAGTCAGCTTGGGCCTTCCTTATCTCAAAAGACCTTGGTAATCCCTTTCTGGGCCCTTTCCCTGTCCCTTCTCTTGGCATTCACCCCTAAGCTTCTCGCCCTCTGTGAGCCATCTGCTTTTCCTCTTCTGCCTTTCAGCTTGGCAGCACCAGACGATGTTCAGAAGAGTGCTCTGTGCTGGGATAAAAATCCTTTGGACCGGATGCTTTTTAAAGTAGATTTACCTTCAATCACCATTTATTAAATCTCTCTCCACTGGAAACCGTCGCACGGGGCCAGAAGGGTGCATTAAGCCCCGTTTATAGAAAATCTGGAGGTGGGGGGAGTTATCGGAGGGGGTAGAAACGTAGCTTTATGCCAGTCTTTGTCCCATATTCCCCATTTACTCGGCTTGGATCGCTCAGGTTTCTAACCAGGAGAAATATTCACCTCCCATGGCTTCAGTCGGGACGGAGCACCTCCTAAACTTTATCAGCCGCTGGCTTCAGACGACTCCAGCTGGGAGCACATCTGAATGAGTTCAGCCTTGGCCGGGTTGGTAAAAACTAGCCAGCCATGGAGGGCAAAGGCTTGGGAGCCAAGAAGGGTCCGGGAGGGAAGCTCGGCGGCTCCGTCCGAAGGATGAGCAGCTCCTTCCAACGCACTTCGCTGAAGGGTTCCATATCGGGATCCCAGAAGGTACGATGGGCGCTTTGACCAAGAAAAGGTCCTCGTGCTGGAGGGAGGGAGAAGCTTCCTCTGGAGGACAGCAGCTCAATGGGGGTGAGGGGGTGCCACTGCTTTTATTCTTTCAGATTTGGGTTGAGCCCCGTGAGGGGTATTCTGAGGTAGAGTTGAGAGCTTTTCCTTGGAGACTGTCTTCATACTTTTGAGGAGGGGGACATTTTGTAGGGGACGGTTGGCTGAGTTCCCAGAGTCTATCGGTCAGGCTGGGGTAATATCCGAAGATAATGTCATCTAAGGTCTGGAGAAACAAACTAGACGGGTGGTAGACTCGGATGCTTGGCTGTATCTAGAGGAGAACCTCCTAAACTCTTTCCAGACACAGATCTAATTACCCTCTTCCATCCCAGAGGAATTATGCAAAGCGACTCCTGGTCAGTTCTGTTGGGCTAACTCATACCTTCCTCTCAGGGATCCTGCATCTTATTCCTAGCTGGAATGCTGCCTATAGGCAAGCCGAGAATCCAGGTCCCCCCCTGAGCCTTTTTCACTGAAGCAGTCAAGGAAAATCTGGCCCAACGAAGCAGAAATGACCACTCTTAGGAGCTCAGCAGGCTGATGCAGTCTGGCTTCTCTTCACTCCCCTGGATGTGGCTTGGATGGCCATAACAAATGTTGTCCACAAACCATGTCAATTGTGATGAATGGCAGGAGACCAGACTCCCTCCGAGAAGTCCAATTCATTGTGCAGCTAGTGAGGCCAAACTGTGCAAGGGGGAAAACGTTGCTCACAAGCAGGCAATTAATGTGACATCCTCGAATAGAGCAATCTGGTCTAACTTTAGCTTGCTTTAAGAAAGATTAGATTTATTTATTTATTTATTTATTTGATTTGCCAATTGTTTACAAGATAATAAGTATAAGTGTATACATAGTTGTGAATACATGAAATGGGTACATATAAGAAAAATAAAAGAATAAGAGAAACAATAGGACAGGGACGGTAGGCACGTTGGTGCGCTTATGCACGCCCCCTATCTATTTAATTTTATCTATTTATCTATTTATTTTATCTATTTATTTATTTATCTATTTAAAAGATCTAATTAAGACTGCATGAGCTTCTTTCTTTCAAGGAGTGTGGAGTTCTGCCTCTAACAAGGACTGTCCTCTTAGGTCCAATTGTCTCAATTATGTAAATTTTGTTGAGATTTCAGCTGAAAAAGGAGGCTGGGCCTCCAATGAGGGTTTGAGAAGACCTTGTCTAGCTGGGCTCTTCTGGTGGGGCAAGAGCCAATGAATGTTCTTGGATTGGCTCTAAGCCTCTTGTTTAGAGAGGGGAAAAGGAGGTTTAATCAATTGGAGAACAATCAGAGTTGATGTGTTGTGTCACGTTCTTCCATGAAGTGGAAACTCCATTCAGGCAGGGAAAGGATGGATCCTGGGGTTTCTGGAAGAAGATCTTCAAAGGAAGTCATTGGTCTGAGTCCAAAAACAACTCACGGGTTTTTCTTAAAATGGTGGAACTCCTAACTTCACCTGGGAGTTTTGGAGGTTCTACCACGAAGAGGAGATTACAAGACAAGACAATTTTGCCTCTTAAGCGTCAGTGGTCAAAACACTGAAACCTCATTTAATCCCATGGCTGTCCTTTCTTGGATGTCCAGGAACTTTGTTGGTACAGTTTTCCAGGGAATAATTATAACAGGTAGGAGTGTTGGCATCTGAAACAATTTGTGTGTGTGTGAGAGAGATGGTTATTCAAGATTTTTTGCCTGTTTCTTTTAAAAAAAAAAACAAGATGTGTAATAATTGAAATTAGGTGCACCAATTGGGGAGGATGGATTGATTGAATCAGGGAGGGTTGGATCAGAAGATCTGATAGTATGGCGGTGGTGAAGTATGATCACTGTTTTTGTGTCAATGCTGATTGAGATAAATAGATAGATAGATAGATAGATAGATAGATAGATAGATAGATAGATAGATAATATATATATAGATAGATATGATAGATGATAGATAGATAGATATGATAGATGATAGATAGATGATAGATAGATAGATAGATAGATAGATAGATAGATAGATAGATAGATAGATA